TCAAAATGAACAAGATAGGGGCTGGAGAGCTGGCTCAGCAGTTAAGAGCACTGGCTGCTCTTGCAGAGAACCCAGGTTCAGTTCTCAGCACCCACTTGATGGTAAACCATCTGTAACTTCAGTTCCAGAGGATCTGATGCCCTCTTCTGTCCTCTGCATCTGTATGGGCATGCTTACATATATACAGGCAGGATACACATACACATAAAATAAAAATAATAAAATATTTTTTAAAAAGATATTCATCTGTTTCATCATGAATTAATCAATGATCAGGAGAAACAGAGATCTCAGAACCAATAAGAACACAGGATTTGAAGACAGAGGGACTGGAGATCAGTGCTAAATAAAGAAATCTCACACAGGGAAGAAAAGGGCAGTCAGAACTTTAACTCTTAACCTAGTCTATATATTGACTGAAACTTTAAATTTATTATTTTTATTTTATGTGTGTGTGTATTGCCTGCATGTACATAAGTGCACCCATGTTGTGCAATGCCTGCGGAGGACAGAAGAGGCTGTCAGATCCCCTGGAACTGGAGTTACGGACAGTTGTTAGCTGCCACGTGGGTGCTGGGATTCGAACCTGGGTCTTCTGCAAGAGCAACCAGTGTTCTTAACCGCTGAGCCATCTCTCCAGCCCATTGACTGAAACTTTGTTACCTTTCGTCCTCCTTTTATAGGTAAGGAAGCCAAAGCTTAGAGAAGAGATGAATCAATTTTAGGTGTTTGTTTTTTGAAAAAGGAACTTAAACTTGTGATTCTCCTGCCTTAGCCTTGGGTGCTAAAATAACAATTATATGCCATCATGCTCAGCTCATGGGTCACTTTTAGATGTCTACACATAATCCATAGGTGTTCAAAGGAGGATTTTCTGTGCTTTTCTTGTGCCACACATAAAATTCTTTTACTAGAATCTGGAGGTCTTAAAAGTATGAAGTTGAATAATAGTCAAAGAATAAGTAGGTAGTATAGGCAGTTTCAAATATCAGCATCAACATCAGTGATGGAAGTAGTTAAAACATTATAACAACAATATGCATTTACTGAGCACTGTATACTAGGCACTAGTTTGAACTCTGAATGCCCTGTATTCTGTTTTAACAAGATGGAGCAGGCTGGGCTCCACAGCACAGAATCAACCTCTGCAGTGACTTGAGGTTCATTTCTCATTTACCCATGGGTCTATTTTGGATTTTGTGTTACTTTTTACTGCCTGGCAGATGTAGAGAAATATAAAATCACACATTTCCTCTTAAACTATTCACCTACAAGTGACATTGGGCCAGATGCTGTGGGACACAACACAATCACCAAGCTATGGCTAGTTTCAAGGGAATAGCTGTTCCTGTGAGGTAAAATCAGAAACAGCATGTCATAACAAGAGTGACTTCCACACATGCCTCATGCCCTTTACCTCCACCAAACTATTTCATAGAACCAGAAATGAGGCTTGGAGAGATTTAGGGACCTGTTGTAAGTTATACAAAGCAAGAAGGGTAGAACTTGGCCTACACAGCATGCATTTGAGTCTAAAGTTTGCCTTTTTTTCTATCATTTATTTTTTAATTAACAAATAAAAATTATATATATTTATCACAAACAATGTGATATATAATTTCACATATTTATTTGGGCTGGAAAAACTAAATTCTACTCTTGGCTATTATTAAGCCTCTATGATATTAACTGAACATTGTTATTAACTACATTCTATTATTTGTAGATCTCTTTTTCTTTTTCTTCTTTTTGAGACAGGATCTCATTCTAGACACAGTTGGAACTTGGCACTCATTATGAAACCAGGCTGGCCTTGATCTCACAGAGATCTGCCTGCCTTTGCCTTGGGATTATAGGATGAAAGGTATACTCCACCACACCTGGCTATTCCTACATCTCTTTATTTCTCCAATCTAACTCAGTTTTGATCAACATCTCTCAAACTCCTACCCTTATCCTCCAAGCCTCTGATAAGGGCCATTTGGCTTTCTTCTATGAGTTCAACTGTTTTAGATTCTACCTGTAAAGGAGATCCTGTGGCACTTTACCTTCTGTGCCTACCTTATATCATTTGGCACAACATCCTTCAGTTCCATCTATGCTGACACAAATGGCAGGATCTCCTTATCTTAATGACTGGATAGTATTCAATTTGTGTGTGTAATTTAAAAATCTGTTCTTACATTCCTTCAGTCCTTCAGGTTTTATTTATTATATCTTACCAAAGAGGACCATCTACTCTTAGTAGGAGGGCAGTGAAGATAGAGAACTTACTCCAATTTCCTAAGCAATAGTCAAAATCTGAAGCTTAGTTTGTCTGACCCTAGAGCCTGTGTCTTTTGCATTTACCTGACAAAATCATTGAGAGACATCACAGGTCTGAATTTAGTAAATGTTAGTTGGGTCCCTTGTACAAGGTATATGAAAATTAACCATTTCTCAGGTTAGCTCATGGTGCACAATGATTTTTCAAAGCAGTAGATAATTTGTTCTGTATAAAGAAAAGACTGACACAGCCATTCACCATCTCATGTGTTCATAAGAATTAGAGCATGTAACTTGTTTTTGAGCTGACCTTATTTCTACCTTTCAAAATATTGTCATTATATGCTGTTTAGTTGGAATAAAAATCCTCTACTGCTATATGCATGAGAATTGTTGTAAAATGTGCAATCTCATAATTTTTTAGTATTTCATTTATTATTTTTATTTTATGAGTACAAGTGTACTGCCTGCATGTATGTAAGTGTACTCATGTCCTGCAATGCCTACAGAGGTCAGAAGAGGGCGTCGGATTCCCTGGAAGGAACTAAAGTTACGGATAGTTGTTAGCTGCCGTGTGGGTGCTGGAATTTAAACCTGGGTCTTTTGAAAGAGCTACCAGTGTTCTTAACTGCTGAACCACCTCTCTAGCCCTGCAGTCTCATAATTATAATGTGCACAAAGCTACATAATCTATGTGGATGGCCTGACTGTGCTCACTAGGGCACCTGAGCCACCTTCACATCCTGATCAGGTTAGATTTCATTTGCATTTTGCTGTTTTAGGAGACAGAGAGGCAACTATACTGTCCTGATTCAAACACAGTGGGCAGGAATTGTTTTTAATCTCCTTCCATGAGAAAAAAGGCGCTGAAATATAAGAATGTGCCATCTTCTTGCTGGGCAGGGAGACAGGTACTTATAATTCCAGCATACAGGAGGCTGAGGCAGTCCGACCAAGTGCGGAAGGCTAGCCTAGGACACACAGTGAATTCTAGGCCAGTTTGGGGCGATAGAGTAAAATCCTGTGTCAAATTGCTAAGACAATGCAAATGAAAAGAATGTGCAAGTTTCTTGTCCTTTTCTCCAAGCAGAGAGAATGATTTGGAACCTGCACATGAATGAAGTTCTGAGTGACCACTTCTGGAGCTTTTTCCCCTGATGGGTTTCATGAATTTCCCTCCACCATGGAGGATTCAATTACTTTAACCAGATGTGTGTTTCTTCTCTGAGACTGAGGACTTAGGAGCCCTTGGAGAATTGCAATGCCTACTACTCCTGCTGGTGCTTACAGCAATGTCTCCCTTCTGATTACTGTTTAGCATCCCATCAGCCTTAGGTAAGTTCCTGTTACTGATCAGGCTCTGTGTCAGATGTTAAAATGCAAGAATGAGTAAGAATGTACCCATATAATTAACATGTTTATTTACAAGATCAAGAGTTGATGAAAGCTGAGAACCCATGTCAATCTTTCTCTGCAATCTGACTTGTGCCTAGAACATGTCCAAGAGCCACCCATTTTGAGATTTTCTTGAGTTGGGGATACTCACAATGTATCTCTGATTGTAGCCAAGTTCCTTTTTGGTGCCAGTTTGTTTGTGATACTGGACAGTGAAATTCAAGTCTGTCTTTGCTAGTATGCTAGTCAGCTTTCTACTTCTGTGACAAAATACTTGAGATAATTGATTTATAAGGAAGAAAGATTGATTTTGGCTGATGGTTTTAAAGGTTCTAGTTTGTGGTTGGTTGGCTCTGTTGTTTCAGGAACTGTGGTAAGACAGAACATATAGAAGGAGCAGGTGGGTAGGGCAATATTCCAACTCCTGGCAGCCGGAAAACAGGGAGAGAAGGGGCCAGGACCCTAATATCCCCTTTGTGGCCACACCTCAATGATCTAATTTCCTTACACAAGGCTTCACATCCTGGGAAGTCATATCACATCCTAGTAGGACTATTGGATAGCGATTAAGTCTTTAAGCATTAGCATAAGGGCCTTCCAAAGACATTTAAAAAACATGTATAAACACACACACACACACACACACACACACACACACACACACACACACTCACTCACTCACAATGTGGTGGTTTGAATGAAAATGTCCCCTATAGACTCCGAGTATTTGGACATTTTGTCCCCAGATGGTGGTGCTGTTTTGGGAGGTCCTAGAAGGTGTGGCGATGCTGGAGGAAGCACATCACTGGGGGTGGGCTTAGAGAGTTCTTAAGGTTTGCTGGATCTGCAGTTGCTCTCTTGCTTCCTGTGCCTGCCTGAAGATGTAGCACTTAGCTTCTACTCCTCCTCCAGCCACCTCTGCTGCCATGCCTCCCCACTAAGACCGACTGCAATTCTCTTGGAACCATAAACTCAAATAAATTCTTCTTTTCATAAGTTGCTTTGGTCAGTGTTTTTATCACAGTAAAAGAAAAGTGACTAATACACACACACACACACACACACACACACACCTCTGAAAGTCCTTCTAATTTTTTTTTTTTTTTTTTTTTTTTTTTTTTTTTGTCTTTTTGAGACAGGGTCTCCCTGTAGCCACAGCTGTCCTGGAACTCACTGTGTAGACCAGGCTGGCCTTGGGCGTGCGCCACCACGCCCAGCCTTCTTTAAAAATTTATTTATTCCTTTTTATAAGCAAAGTTATATAAATACATTTCTTTCCACTTTATTCAAAACAAACAGCATTTGGGGTCCTGATTGACGGAGAAACTGAAAAGGGAAACAAAAATATGGGAGTTTTCATGAATTAGTGTCTACTTGCTCAGTGACTGTGCTCATCTTCTCTGTATTGTTCTACTTTTTAGAACTTGTGCTGCAGAGGTGAGCACAAAAACAGTGAAATTTCTGAACAAAAAGAAAGAAAAACTTAAAAGCTATCAGAATAAAAGAACATTTTATTTAGTAGTTAACAATGATGAAATTCACTCAGGACTGCACATCAAAATATAGTTAGTGAAGAAGGGAAAACCATCTTTAAACTGCTATTTTTTTTTAAAAGATCTGCTTGATCCAGAAGTATATATACAAAGAGTAGCTGCTCTAAAAATCATGAGTTAAAGACATTTTCAGGTAAGTTGTTGCAATATAGGACTCTCCTCAGTCAGTGAAAGCTAGGAAACTATGGTACCAGTAAATGTGCATTACAAAAGAGTAAACTTCTTCAAGCTAAAAGAATTATAACCCTTTGAAATCCAGCTGTATACGTGGCAAATATGCTCATAAATAAATGAACACCATTTTTTCTCCCCAAAAAGATATAAAGTATAACAAGAACTCTCATGGTTTCAGGAAATAAATATTTATATCATTTTAGTCTAATCTTTCATTTGTCTGAGGGCATTTGATCATCATACGTAGATTGATATGAACTGACAAGAATACTATAGTTAGATTTTGTTGAGGATTTCCTGTACAGCAGCTTTACAAATCAGGTTCACCAGGAGTAAGTCATGACAGATGGAAAATATGCTACTGTTCTTTAGTCCAGAGCATGTTTTATATTTTATTTTAGCTAAGTATTTGGTAACTGCATCTATATACTGCTGGATAAGTTAATTTCCTAGGTAGGAAAATAATTCCTTATTCAAATCTCTAAAGATCACTCACTACCAGTTCAGCATCAAACTGATAAGTGATCCTTAGTGGTGGGCCCTGGGCACATATCATTGAGAAATTTCATACCATGCACAAGTGAAAACAGATTTGCAGCTGCAGATACAGACAGCAGAATCAAAGATGAAAACAAATGGCATAGACAGTTAAGAACAAGGAACTTAGGGAATGAAATTTGTTAGGAGGAGCTTGGGAGATGCAAAAATTTCTGACTTGGGCAAGAGTCATGAGAACAAGCCATGGGATTCTAGACAAGAGAAAGCTCAAATGAGCCAGTTTTCTGAGAAGGCTGCCAAGACAGAACAATTAAAATGAGCACACAAAAGAAAATGTCACCACCCTCCTGCTTTGTCTTTGGATGTTGCTATAATAGACTAATCTGTCCATTCCTAGTACCTTCTTGCATTTGAGTACATTTATATCTATTGAAAAAATTCCCATGAGACTATAAATACAAATAAGTTCTTTAGTAGATTTGGAAAAGTAGGAGTATCTTTTTAAAAATTATCTAATTTTGATCTGTTCCTCAGGAGTCACATGGGCTTGGGAGGAGCCTCTGGCTCCTTTCTTTCACCAGTTCTGCCTATGTGAAGTTAAGTCAAAGGTCCTGCTCCACTGTGGCTGGCTTCACTTGGAAGCATGGAGGAAATGATTCCTCTGTGTTGACCCTCCTCTTTGTAGACTGGACACTGGTTCAAGTCCATCTTGTGGGGTCTCCTCGGCCTCCTTGATCAAGAGGACAGGTGACCCACGACAATTACAGGACATTTTGAGAGATTCTCATAGTCCCCTGGAACTAGTCAATTCTAGCAGGGCAAGGAGCAAAAACTGTCCTTTATGTCTATCTGACCAAATTATTATAGGCCTCAAAGTATGTCTGTTAAACATCCAAGAAGGTTAGTTCCACCAGTCTGGTACTTTTAATTACTGTATGTCATGTAGATAAATCTTGGGCAAAGACCAATTGTTCTCAGACAAATCTTACCTAGACATATATTTCTTGATCTGGTATTTATAATTTGTCAGTAGGTTGTTGGAGTAATATGGTTCCCTCTGGTTTTTAAAACTAGCTAGGCATTATTTATCTCTCGCATTGTCTCATCCCCCCATCATGGTTTCCCCAATTAAGGTGCCCCTGTAGTCCCCTTTTCTCCCTTAATAATACCCTTCTCCTATGGTCTTACCTCTCTTGAACTCCTTCTTTCCCTTTATCTGCTAGGTTCCTTGTATACCCTTCCCTCCCTCCTCCCTTAAACTAACCCAATTTTTATCCATATCTCCCTTATTAACACCTGTTTTCTACTGTTTTTCTCTTTCAGGTTATTTCTTTTCCTTTATCTCCCTGGTTCATTTCCATTTTCCTGGGTCCTCTAGTTATGTCTGGATACATACTCACTTATCAGGGTTTGGTTCTAGGATCCACATATGAGGGAGAACATATGTCGATTTTTTTTCTGAGTTTGTGTTATTTCATTTAGTAAACAGTTTCTAGTTCCATCCATTTACTTGCAAATTTCATGATTTCATCTTTCTTTACTGCTGAGTAAAACTCCATCATATAAATGAACCACATTTTCATTATCCACTCATCAATTGAGGGACACTTAGGTTGCTTCCATCTCTTAGCTATTGTGAAAAGAGCAGCAACAAACATGGATGTACAAGTGCCTCTGCAATAGGATGAGTTCTTTGGGTATATGCCAAGGAGTGGTATAACTGGGTCAAATGGTAGGTTCATTTGTAGTTTTTTAAGAGTTCTCCACACTGCTTTCCATAGGGGTTGAACAAGTTTGCAGGCCCACGATCAGCAAATGAGCATTCTCCTTTCTCCACAACCTCCCAGCATTTGATATCATTTGTCTCTTGATCTTAGCCAGTCTGACTGGGACAAGATGAAATCTTAAAGTGGTTTTAATTTGCATTTCCCTGATTATTAGTGATGTTGAACATCTTTTAAGATGCTTCATAGCCATCTTTACTTCTTTTGAGAACTCTCTGTTCAGCTCCTTAGCCCATCTTTTAATTGGGTTACTTCTTATCTTGATTGTCTGTTTTTTGAGTTCGTTATATATTCTCGATATTAAACCTCTGTCAGATGTGTCGATGGTGAAGATTTTCTCCCATTCTCCGGGTTTTCTGTTCACTTCCCTGGTTGCCTCCTTTGACGTACAGAGCTTTTTAGTTTAATGAGGTCCTATTTGTTAATTCTTGCCCTTGTTTCATGACCAGTTGATGTCTGGTTTAGATGAATCTTTCCTATACCTATATCTTGTAGGTTTTTCCCAGTGTTTTCTTCTAACAGTTTCAGAGTTTCAGGCTTTACTTTGAGGTCATTGATACATTTGGAATTGACTTTTGTGCAAGGTGAAAGATAGGGGTTTAGTTTCATTCTTCTACAACCTTAAGAGTAAAAATAAATTGGTTTTTCTGGGCCAACTGCATGGTCTTAAATACCCAAAAGGATAGTATAAGGAAAGTATAACCAAAGATTAAAGGGGCCAATATAATTTCTTAAGAGTCCATATGCATAGCTAAAGGCTATACAACAAGCAACAATGCCAGAGAGGTGCTACCTTCTTTTGAGTTGTTGGCCAGGGTGGCCAAAGGGACTCCCAGATAGTAATCCAGCATAAAACTGGGACAATGAACAGCAGACCCCAATCTTATCGAAAAGAATATTGACAACTGATTGCTGCTAGATGAGGAACAGCTGACCTTCCTAAAACAAAGACCTCTAGATAGGCTGACTAGATTCACCATATGGACAAATAGTGGGGAATGGCTGGGGTGCTGACAACACAGCAGACAGTAGCAGGGATATCAGAGTATAAGGGCTCTAGTCGGGGGAGGGAGGCTATAGGAAGGTGCTACCTGGGAAGTGGGTGTATGGTTGAATAAGATGTTTTGGGATGTTCTGTGTGATACACACACACACACACACACACACGCACACACACGCACACACACACAAATCAACAAATTAAAAAAAATGGATTATATTTGAGGAGGAAGCATGGAAATTTTTTTCATGTTAATTAGTAGAGGTGATAAACATTACCATTGAAATCTACCTGATGACTTTATAGGCATACACAGGCGCCAAGGATCCAAGTGCAATTGATTATGACTAGTAATAATCAGATACATACAGATTAGAGATGCATGTGCCAACATCTCAGTGTTAGTAGCAAAAACAATGAGTCTTTCTGCAAGGAACAATATATTCTAAAATGAAATGGAGATCTTTTTTAAAGGTTAAAAACTCATTCAATTTTATGTCTTACAGGGCTTATACTAAGTTCAATATTGCATAACTGTATTAATTCAACTGTGAACCTAGAAACTCACAGCCACTTGTGAAGAGATATACTCTTGACTCTGGAATGTGTTACTGAATATGTTAAAGCTGTAATGAAATGCTTATTCTAATCATGTAGTTATTAAAAATTAAAAAAAATAAAAATAACTTCAAAAAATCAGATGATTTTTTGGGCATGGTGGTGTATGCCTTTAATTCTAGCAGTCGGGAGGCAGAGGCAGGCCTCTGTGAGTTCAGAGTCAGCCTGGTCTACATAGGCAGTTTTAGGCTAGCCAGAGTACATAATGAGACCATGACTCAAAAAACCAACAAAAATGGGGCTGTAGAGATGGCTCAGCAGTTAAGAGCACTGATCGACCCTGCAGAGGCCTATGTTCTGGGTGTCAGCACCCACATGGCAGCTAACAACTGTGAGTAACTGCAGTTTCAGGGGCCTCTGCAGGCTTTGTACAACACAGGTGCACTTATTTACATGCAGTCAAAACACTCATACATATAAGTTAAAAATAAATAAAAAGAGGAAAAAACAACAACAGAATAAAAAACAAAAGAAAATTTTCTAAGTTTGGAGACAGTCCCTATTACCAAATGGCCCTTTTGGGAAAAGCAGAAAAATCCAGTATTACTGTATTTTCAAACCTAGGGACTCCCTCACATACACTCCACTGACTCAGCAAGCAAAGATCCCAACATCTTTATTTTCTTAATATTTACTTTTGAGTTTTATCTTGTTTTAGCATTTATCTTGTTTGAATAGGCTTTTATGGTTTTCTTTTTTTTTCTTTTCTTTTTTTTTTTGACAAAGTCTCCTTAGTCCCAGCCTGCTTGGAACTCACTATGTGTACCAGGCTGACCTGAGTCTCACAGAGATCCACCTTCCTCTGCCTCCCAAGGACT